CAGGGACAGGGCTGGCTTGGGGCTGAAGAGACCCTGGGACAGTGGCTGGGGCTGGGTAGGGGTCCTGCGACTCTGGGGTAGGGGGTTGGGGCTGGCTTGGGGCTGGAAAAGGTGAAAGTTGAACAACCAAAAAGGTTCTAGAATTTTTAATAGACTGAAAGCCATAAGCAAAAAGGCTGCAATTTGCCTTGGCTGACTTATGAGCTTGTTACTAGTTTAGTTCAATGTTGTTGTCCTTCTTGCCTGTGTTTTCCATATATATATATATGCCGGCATTCTTTTGCTCCTGAGTCGCTTGACTGGACATGTCTGTTTCTTTTTATTTATTTTTGAACTTTTTTTGATTTTTTTTTGACTTTGACTTTTCCAGTTGACTTTTTTTTTAACTTTTTGACTTTTTTTTTAATCAAGGATTCTGGCCTTACCATATGAAAGTTTTTTTAAAATAATGATAAGCATTGACCAACCGGCCTGCATTTCATCTCCTTCGTTGCAGCTCATGTTGATGTTTATTGGTATTTTGTTTTTGCTGCCGATTGTATGGGTGGCGGCCTGATCCATCAAGGTTACCTTTTTGGTTGAGAAAGGGGGGGGCAGGGCGTGCCAAAAAGACATCTCACCCTCGCTGCAGCGCTTTTGTGCATGGCTCGGAGTGACGGAACAACCAGGCAGCTGATGGCCAGGATCAGTTGAACTTTCACCTTTGGCTGCAGCAGGAGGCTGAGTGGGTCAAGTTAATGTGTCATGGCATTTCAAGAACCAGATGGGTCAGCAAATGATCACGCTTCCAGCCTGCTCAGCGGGTGAATCAATCACTTGGGGATTCCACATGTCACATGTTTCGCGAGGATTGTTGCTGGAAACACCTGTTTCAGGTCATGTCATGGGTTGGAAGGAGTTATTTGGTTTGGTTAGCTTGGTCACCGGACTTCACCCTGAGTTTTTTCCAAGTTTCGAACTCAGTTGTGACTGTCAACACTGTTAAACCTCCTGGCCCACCATCACCAGGTTTTTCGTTTTGGATACACCGATAGACCTCCAACATGTGTTTGGGGTTGCATATGTTTGTCCATGCAAATCGAAGAACCTCGATCAAGAATTGTGCGGGTCTTGGAAAGGCTGGGAACAGAATGCCAAGGTCCCAAAGAGATATCGATTCAGCTGAGAAGTCTATAATGTTTCTAGGTTTGTATTGTGAACATTTGTGAATTCATTGACGCCAACAGAATGAGTAAGTCCAGCGGAAAGAGGTACAGTAGCTATTGGAAACATTTAGCAGCAGTTGGTGAGGTTTAATAACTATGTGTTTTTGATTTGGAACAAGACTAGTTCTCCGGAACAAGTTAAAGTGAGGTGTGATCAGTGTGATCCTGATTTTTCAGTGAACTCCACTTGGGACACCCTCCAACCATCCAACCAAAGATAACTATAAGTGATCCCGGTGAAGCTAGACCTTCTTGTCTAACAATGTTTTTTGATGTTAGTTCTGTCACATGTCGCCTGAGTTTTTTTGTTGGAACCTGGTTGTGCCAGGCCTTCCTTGAGAATGAGGCTCCATTTGAGGCTGACACCACAGGGTGAAGATGGGAAGGTCACCAAATTTCAGGCAGTGTTCGTGTGTTTTGGGGGTTGAATGTCCGGAACAAGTTCATGGAAAGACATTATAGATAAGGGACTGCCAGTGGGACTGCCCTCAAACAATACCTCTGAATTTCGAACCTCCAGAACTGACAGCTACCACCTACCACATCATTTCAATTGCATGCACATCTTGGAAAGACAAGACCTGCAAGACTGATAAGGGACCACCCTAATTGCCAATTGTTTTGCTAGGTCCTAGGTAGACAATCCCACGTAAGTTATTCCTACATAGTGTTTTTTTTGTCAATCGCGTGAGCATGTCCCTTATCTACTGGAGCGAGAGTTGACCTCAAAGAACTGATGCATCACAGGCCGATGCTTTGCTGGCATCACCGCCGCGGAGTAAACTTAATGTTGTTTTCCTCGTTGGGGTGCATGCTTAGGCCCTGAATATTCCTGAATGAATCTGAATGATTCATTTGAGTGTGAAGCATTGTGTAACAACAGCTCAAATCAGCTGCGACATGAATCCTGAGAACCCCGTCACGCCAACAGCTCAACACATCCTCGCACTTCAGGCTGGGCGGCTTTGGATCCGGCACGCGTCACGTGCGCGAGAGGAGTGCCCGATTGTGAAGCCTTCAGGAATAGCACCAAGGTGTCAACTAGCTGGTGTTGGAGTTGTTTGTTTCTGTTATTTTTTTCCGATGGTATTGGATGTTATTTTTTGGTGTTTCTTGATGTACTCAAAACTGCTTTTGCAGGTGTTTTGATGTGTTCGGAGGACTTCCGTGGCCGGCGCAGGGAAGCGGAACCACAGGCTAAGCCCGTTGCTTGGCCAGCGCTGCCTAGATGTTCTGCAAAGGTCAATTTGGTTTGTTTTTAACAGGGTATTTCGGTATTTCCTGTTTAAACTTTAAACTAGTGACAAAAGCGGAAGACGTTTTTGAGTTTGTTTTGAAGTGGTGTTTTAAGCTATGCATAGCTGTGCCAATGTTTGGTTTGGAGAGCAGAGCACATTGGACTGCAAATTGACCAGAACCGTGGAAGCCAAGAACTCGCTTTCGGTGACTATTTTGGTTGTTTCATGCTGTTTCTTTGGCAGATTTGCAGCCTAAAGCTACCATGATTTCAGGATTTGTCAAGCTCAGAATGCCTTTGCCATCAACTGCCATGTTCAAGGATTCTCCGGCTTTGTAAAGACACGTTGGTTATCATGTTTTATCCATGCAACGTAGACTGACACAGATGGTCACCGGGTCTGCGCCCATTTCACGCACTCTCAACCTAGGAAGAAATAGCCTGGTGGCAGGCGTGACGATGCGTGACGTCTCAAGCTGCAGGGTGGGCTGTTTTGCACCTGTGCAGGGCTTGAGATGAGGTCGAAGTCAGTGTTCCCTCTACCAGAATCCCACTTCAAGCGTTTTGCGTGGCGAACTCCGTGTTTTCTTTTTTCAATCGAAGCTTCGCCAAAGGTGTTTGATTGTTCAGCCAGGCAGGCAAACACCCCGTGCTAAGGAGGAACACGTTGATGCTAATTATTATGTACTGTATATAACTTGAAGATTATATTTTGGAGTCACTGTAGGGCCGTAGATGAGTTAACAGTGAAGAAGAAAGTTTCATGCCTTGAGCATGCTTGGGCTTGAAGCTTGAGCAAGTTTGAGTCGAAACTCCTTGCCCGGGTCCCCTTTTCCGAATCAATTCCATAGAACCCCCCCCACAATAAGCAAGTTCATTATTCTTTACTGATTGGGATATCACCCCTTATTTGGGATGAGTACTCCACACTTTGGACTAGTTAATTTGCAAATATTCCATGTGTTTAGATTCAGGTGAAATTTCCGAAACAAAGAGCGAGGCCTTTTTCGGCCAGCCAGTATGTATTTATATATATGACATACAGACATTGTGTTCAAGCAATTCTCAGACGCAGATTCACCTAAAGCCAATACTACATTCTTCGATAGTGGTGGCAAGTATGATCACACTTCCTAAGGCAAAACCGGCATCCCCACGACACGCGAAAGGGGGGGCGGTGACCACACCAACGAGAACTGGGAGCCACAGCATTTGAAGGCGACTGGCTGAGAGGAGACCGATCTTTGTGCGGGCTCTGGAGAAACTGTAATGTTGTTTCTTTACCGGTTTGGAGAGAACGAGGATAGGATGGTCGTGACAGCGTTTCAGTCAATTGTGATTGTTTCAGAAAGGTACATACTTAGCTTCCCGCCCTGCCCACCAAAGATTCAACAACAACCAACAACATATAAATATACTAAAATGTCCAAAAACGTCGTACTAGGAGGACGCTACTACCTCCACAGCGTACCACTCTCCAGAGTTTTCTTGAACGTCCGCGGGGTAGTGCTGGGGAGTCCAGACAAAACCGGTGACTCCCTATGTGCGCAGAGGACGGCCCACAAAGGGTGGGACGAGTTCGGCCGAATCGGGGAAGGCCCAAATGGGTCTCATCTCTTGGTGCATCTTCCTGCATTTTCCTCCGGCCTCCGCAAAAGGTTCCGAACATTGGAAGTATATAAGAGTCAAATTCGTTCAAAGCCTTGGAAAGTCATCGTTTTCAGAAGACTGGAACTGGAATCGGGTGCTTTCCTGTCGCCCACCCTCTTTGTTCTTTCGCCGCTGGAACGGAAGAAAGGCATCGCACCTGAATCCATCCAGCGACTGCTGCAGTGCTCGCCTGAGTTGGCTTTGGCAGGGAACCTGCCTACCTTATCCTCTTCCCTCTCAGAAACTCGTTGGATTCTTTGGGGTGATCCAGCAGTTTGGGGCCGATGCTGGCGGAGCCTAGTCACAGATCCTCAGATCCCAGTCACGGAGTCCGACCTCTCAGGTGCCGATGACGTGCTCAAGGCCTGGCCGAACGGAGCGTCCATGGGGTCCATTGGGTTGGTGAAGACCAGCGCGTCCACGGCGTCGTCGGGGGCGTGGTGTGTGTGTGTGTTCAACTCGAATCCAGTCCAATGGTGGAGTTTGTTGTGTCTTTTTTGTTTTTAAGTGATTCTACTGTGCGTGTTCCATAGAACCCGGGTCACGAACCTTGGACCATATATATATATATATTGAACCATGATAGTAATAATATCAGTTATACTGAGTGGGATGCACTTGAACGTATATAGGGGTGTTTGTCCCTAGAGATTAGATCGCAGTATGTCGCAGTGAACTTTGTATAAAGTCGTCATAGAAATTCGACAGACGTCTTGTGCATGTCAATATGTCAGCGGGATTTCTTGGGATGATTGAGATGTTTTTAGTTTCTTCCTGTCTATGGGAAAGCATTTGGGTGGGGTTTGACCATTGCCTACAAGCCCCTTTGCCCGGAATGAACATAGGGATGGAGAACCTGGTTCCAGGTTGGTGATAGTGCTTTGGGTCCGAATCCCCTGGAGAGGTTGAGGTGATGTTCGCTTTTGCCAAGCGGGTCACCCGCTGTAGACAGGTTCTAGCTCACTTGCCGGTGTCCGCGCCGTCGGGAGCCATATGGTGCTGGCGGTTTGCTGGGGGTGTCCCTGCGTGCGTTCAGATGATAGAAGCCACGCTTTGGAAGACGTGCTCCGAACAATGATGTGTGGGTGTAATGATGTCACTACAGGAGGCTTTGCAAAGACCCCTACTGTGCCCAAGCCATAGCAAAATCAATCAGCGTCACAACCAAACACCAAGAAAAACAAAAGATCCGGCCATTCCAAGTTGTTGTGGAGGTTCAACTATTTCGTCCAGGTAGCATTTGGGTTGCAACTTTGCAAGGGTTATGGTAGAAATCATTCAGTCTAAAGTTTGGACAGTTACAAAAGGTAGTGTTTGTTGGCGCCATGATTGCTTGTCCAGCAGGTATCATGATGAAGAAATGATGCAACCAACGAAGCATTTTGCTTTGAAGCTTCAGTCATCCATATAGATTCAACAATCGACGGCAATGATAAAAAGCCCGTGGCAAATGGTATTGCTTCGAGAATACCAACCTGCCCCATGTAAGAACCGGTCATGTGAGAGTACCACTGAACCAGGAGGACGCGCCGTGGCAAGCAGGTGAACGACGAGATTCACATGGGGGACACTGACAAGTTTGATCCAGCAGTCAATGCCGATCTCATCCCCGTGAAAGCAGTAGATCCATGTAGATCCATGTAATGATGGTACCCAACACTAGGTGTTGGTTTTCTCAGGTTTTCTCATATGGCCCTTTTCATTATCCAATTGTGCTAATGAATACTCAGGGGCCCTTATCAAAATGTAGACCTCTTAGAACTGAATCCTTTGCCAAGTGGCACCTTATTTTTGAGATCTTGGCTTGGACCACTGTAAATGTAAGTCAGCCAGAATAGATGACTCCTACCACCTCAGGTGAGTTTGAGCTTAGGGTGAGATGTTCATTTTTGTTGATCGTTTGACTAAGATATTAATATCAGTTGCTGTCATGAGTCATACTCCAACAGGCTCAGAAATTAGCCTACTGGCAAGGGAAGACACCCCAGTGACCTGGCCAAGAAATCTGAGCCATGCGCTGGCTTTTCTGCTGCAGCTCGCATGACGGCAGCGGTGGAAACTGAGCTACTTGGATGATGTTCAGACTGGGGACAAGGACAGATCTGAGGTCTCAGGAGCCCCGTGAAGACTTGGACCTTTGAGAATAGCGACCTCATAGGTCTCAGATCCATATTGCTTGGGAGATATTGTGACGTTGGACCTCATAATGACCTCATCATTTGGACCCCAAATGGGTAAGACGAAACCTGGCAGCGACTCGCCGAGTCTCGCCGAGTTCTTCGGAACAGAACAGCGATAGGAGGAAACCTGGCAAATCCTGCTGTTGATGGTCATCCCACATCATCACATCATGTAGAATTGCTGTTCTATGTAACATGTTGGATGAACTGTTCTATGTGTTGGTGGTTTACTGCAACGCGGCAAGACAATGGAAAAGCTTTTGTTGCAGACAGATCGTCCCCTGGCTGAAAGATGTGATTTTGGTCTAGCTTGTGCCATGTGCCAGGTCACATGACCTATGATCCGCGACAGAAAGTCACAGAGGAGAGTCTAAACTCAGGTGGTGGCTTTGCCTCTTAGTTTCCACCTGGACCCAAAAAGTGGGGATGAAACGTGATGGAACTTAGGGAGTTACACGCCCTGATGGCCTAGAGGCCATTTTCCAGCACTGAAAAAAACAACTTGGAAACTGAAAAACCATGTGATTCTTTAATTTTGCTGAACATATACGATATTGTTCATGGGAGGCATCTGAGTGTGTCACCTCCGACATCCTGCCAACCATTCGGGCATAGTTTTGAGAATTCTGAGCCCCACTTGCCGCTTGCTTGAGGAAGTATTCCGGATTGAAGATCACAGGCGCGTGAAAGGAAATTAACTGAGTCAACTGCTGGAGAGCTGGAACATTCAGCGAAATGTCACCTTCCTTCCTGGGACGGCTATGTTTCACTTGTGGATGTTCTCACATGGTCCGGTTGTCCAGCCTTTAGTTGATACCTTCAGTGCCTGATACGCTTCATTCCCTCCGCTCCTCGGGTCCGAGCGTCGGGTCCGCTCTCGCGGTTTCACCAGGGCGCACCATCTCTGCCCGGCGCTGGGATGAGCTGATGGCCGGAAAGAGGCCTTCGGAACCTGACGAGAACGGGAAGCACCGCCCCAAACGGGTCGGGTTGGGCCAAACTACGGTTTCCAATGTCCCGACCCTTTTGGTGCATCCTGGACAGACGGTAAGACCGCTGCGTTTCTCAGTCTTTTTGGGCAGGATGTGAGGGTCACAGGGTCACACTCTTGTGTTTGGTGATAGTGCATTGATTATTAAGCTTGGAGGTCAACATGTTGCAAGACAGGATTTGAGTTCTCCCGGGTGTGCGTTGGAGTGCTGCTGCTGTTTCTCGGAAGAGGACAGGCTTTTGAATCCGAAAGTCTTGGTATTATACATGTGACGGATTGCCTCCTTCAATAGTCTTTGTGTGATATGGGACTTGGAGTAGAATCCCTTCCTCTTCTATCCCTCGCTTGGTTCACAGCTGCGACCTCCCGTACATGTGTGAACAACTTCTTTTCCATTGAGAGCCCGTCGGAGTTTTGTCGTTGGATACAGTGACTCTAGATTGAAGATCCGGCCTGTCAGCGAGGACACCTGCTGTTTGATCCAAGATCCTCCAGCACATAGTATTTGCACCCAGGATCCTGATTGATCCACTATGCTTCATCACTACATCAGTTACATAGCCCACCTCAGAAGGCAGTAGAACGGGGCAAAGACCAAGTCATGTGTTTGAAGGTTTTGGACTTTTTATCCACGGTGGCTCGGCCTTTGCCTCTCACCTGGACGCAAGCTGTCCTGCCAGGTATGTCAGCTTCAGCGCATTGGGCACCAGCGAACAGAACAGAAGCTGTGTTTGCGTGGGGGTCCTTTACGTGGCTCGGAGATTTGATATGGTCATGTGGCTTTGGGCGGATTGGCGTCCGTCATACAGTGTTTGTGTTTCTTTGTATTTAAAATAATTGTTTGATATCGTTGGATTGGTTCTCAGTGCCAGAACGGAATATACATAAACGGCAATCGCTTTGGACACTTGTGGAATCACAGACCCATCATGGTGCTTCTGGCGATTTATTTCACTCATCATGGTGGTTTTCCGTCCAAAAACAGGGTTCACACCATGAAATCCATGAAACAAATAGTCACACCCCATGCAAACACAACTCGAGTTCAGTGAGGTTTTCGTTCTTGGCTTTCCTGAACAGCCTCGGCCCTCGGCCCTCGGCTTTGTCCTCCTCCCAGGATCGGGGCGCCGCCAAGACCTCCAGCACAGGTGCGCATCGAAGTGAATGCCGTAGAGGGAGGTTTCCACGAAAGAGGTGGTCGAGGTCAACGATTCAAAAGAACACCTCTTTCGAAGCCTCTTCAAAGCCTCTTCTTTGTTTATGTTGACCGCCTCTAGATTTCTTTATGTTGACCTCGTTTTGTGTGTGTGTCTTCCTGTAGACTCTAGACTCTCGACCTTTCTTTATATTCTAGACCTTCAAACCTGGCGTTTTTCTTCCTCCAGATTCCAGATCTTGTGTTCTTTCCCATATGAACAAATATGTGTGTGTGAAGGGTGGTCTTCCGAAGGTGGGGGATGGGCCTGTTTTTTGGTTCGTTTATGCATCACCCAGATTGTTGGACCTACCCTCTAAAGGAGATTTGATTTAGGGTAGATATGATTTGCAACTATAACTACAACTAAGGAAGTCCTGATATGGATTTGCCTCGAGATGACTCCAAATGGTCTCTCAAAAACGCTTTGCATTGGGTTTGCCATGTGTTTCCGTGCGTTGGAACCCAATCCCGGTTGGTCAAAAGCACAAGATAGACAGCTACTAGCAAAGTGACTTGATGATACTTGATGTCAATACATACCCTACTCCCATAGCGTTGGCCATTAAGTTTTGCTAGAGGTTCATACATGTGGCAAAGTCTTCATTCCTCCAAAGCAGCGCGATCACCATGCAGAATGGCGAGTCGGTGCAAGGGGTGTAATCAAGCCCTTGGGATGTGCGTGGTATCTATTGACCGCCCAGATGCATCCGATGCTTCCAGTGTTTCCTGCCATTTCGACCAAGATCTCAACGACCTTGCTCCTAGTAGTGTCATTGTTCCTACTAGTAAGGCCAGGAGCCCCTAGTAGCGTCCTTGTTCCATATCCTCAGAAGTGTCTAAGGGTGATCAAAACAAATGTTGTGGTCGACGTTGCAATCACCCTTCAAGCATTCGGTTCTTTTGTCCCATTGGGTACCAGGCAAGTCAGGCAAGTCATTGTTTATGAATATTCCTGAGGGAATAAACCGTACAAGATGGGAGGTCGTAATCAGGTAATGCAAAGACACCATTTTGGACCCCTTCCTGCAAGAACGTTGGGGCTGGTGGATTCAGTACGCGCATCAAGAAAGGTTGGGGCCCTCGTTGGTTCATGGAGAAGTTGGGGTGTTTTGGGGAGATGTCCTGAGTCGTAGTGGTTAAGGTTGGGGTATGTTGAGGTCCTCAATTTTGTGCAGACCAAAGCCTGTCTCCTGGAAATCGGAGACTCGATGGTCAAGGTTTATCCCCACAGTGTTCTTTAATTTGAATTAGCTGAATTGTAATATATGATTGTGTCGTTCAGTCATGAAAACCAGTTCCTGCCCCCAGGAGTTCAAGGACCAAATCATCCAGTGTCTCCTAGGCGTTCATGATGAACCACTATTCTGCCGACCATTTGGGCAACTAGGAACAAGAAGCTACTAGGAACAAAGGGCATCGCTACTAGGAGCAAGGACGCTACTAGGGGCTCCTGGCCTTACTACTAGGAACAAAAAACTACTTGTTTGTTGTTCTCTTGAGTGTTCACTTTTGTTCGTTCGCATGACCGGAACGGTTCCACCGAGACTGAACACGCATGACTTGCTCCTCCGGAACGGTTCGCTGTTAACCTCAGGTGGTCGCTTCGTGCACTGGTCCTTCACGGATTTCGCTGCGGGAAAGCCCTGTGTGATGAGGTTGATGCCGCTGGGACCGAGGGACGGCGGTTCTGCGTTCCGGACTGAGGGTTCCGAGGCCGTGGTCAGCCAGTGATGGGTGTTGGAGTGGTCATTGTGACGGAATGGCCTTTACAAGTAAGAGTATCTAGAGAGACATTCCTACTCAAGAATGAAAGTAAAACATGGCCTCCTGGGAAGAGCATGATCCAATGTAGACTGGCTTCAACATCTTGTCACACTTGTTGTATAAACATGTTTTAAACTATCACCCTTTGCACCAACTGATAGAGTAGACATGAATCGCCCTCAGGTGTCATCGACAGTACCTCAGGTGTCATCGCCAATCCCACTCACACAGCCGTACTGTGTTGGTGAGTGAGTAGAGGCACACTGCGCCTCGGATCAGCGAGATGGTCCATGGTTTTGGAACAGATCTGATGCCGTCCATTGAGTTGACTCCAAAGCACACGCAATCCTTTTCCATGTCCAACGTCATGAATGGTCTTTGCCCGGATTTGTGGTTTTCTTGTGCGATTGAAGAATCACATAAGGATCGTAACGGCTCCTTCAAGGAGCAATTGTCCAAAGGAGATAGCTAAATGTATATGTACACAATTGCACCACTGCACACAATTCGGGGATAGTGCAAATGGACAATCCCACTGTAAGTGAGATATGTCTCAGGCTGTGCGGTGAAGCCTTTCAAGCTTGGGAGGACTTGGCCAACACGGCCCCTGAGCTGCGCGGGGTGGTGTCGTCAGACCAGATAGCCTTGGATCAATCGAGTACAGGAAAGGCATCTACAGTAAAATCTGATAAGTCTACATCTCAATGACATTCAATGACACCCTGAAGCTGTTGGAGCCTGGCATAAATGTTTGACAATCTTTGGAAACCAAAGCCAGTGTAATGCCAATGATGCCAATGGCTTGTGATTTGCGTTCGTTTTTGCTCCAAGAAGGCTTCCACACAGGTGCCACCCCATGGCTCGGTCTCCTTGGCTCCACATCTTCGGCTCTGGAAGGTGCACTACGGTGCACTGGTGGCCATGCTGAACCCCGCGCCGATGGCGCCGACTGAGCGATGCAGAGCCGGAGCGGGTGGCAGCTGGGTCGCGGCCAAGGTGACGCATTCGACGCAGCTCGTGTTGCTGGGATTCTTGGATTGAAGAAGTGCGGTGACGGAGAAAGAAAAGGAACAGAGAGTGGAACAGAGAACATTGGGATGAACATCAACATTGGAACTATGATGAACTTTAGCGACTCGTAGGAATTAACAACCCCTTGGGGTCGACTTGGAGTCGAACTAGCGTTGTGTTGTTTTAAAGTGGTTGATATATATGTTTTGTGGGCCATGTTGACTTTTGTTTCGACATGCTTTCCGGACTGCATGGAGTGGACGTCGATGAGGACCAGTGGTCGGTCCCTAGCCACGCAGTCTTCGGTCGGCTCCAGAGAATCTCCGCATGGTGGTGGCGGTCTTTGCCTTGGTGCTAGGTTATGTCTCAATAGACCACATGAACTACACATTTTGAGGAGCCTCCACCAGGGGAGTCTATGTGAATTTGTGATTTTTCTAGATATGTCTAAATATTTTCTAGGCAGAGTAGCAAGAAGCTATAACAACTGGATCGCTACCAGTAACAAGTGCATTGCTACTAGTAACAAGAAGCTAGTACGGCACTCACCAGGAACGGGCCTTGGAGAACCTAAAATGAAAATCCCTTGTTTTCCTACTGGCCGAATTGGGACTCAGAGTTTGGGAGGGGTCCGCGACCCCCCATGAAGTGATGCTTGGCTTGGTTTGACGAACATCCAGTTGTTTTCAATCCCGGCAAAGAGTGCATATGGTTCATCTACATGGAGAATCTACTCTGAGGGTATCAGAGTAGAAAGAGTTCGTGGCCTTTTCCAAGCCCCCATGTACAGCTACGCTATATGTCTCTATGGATCTCCGCAAAACGCAATTGTCCAATGGCCAAGCTGTCTCAACAACACTTCTGCTTAGGCCAATTCCCGTCCTTGGGCTACTGCTCCTCCCGCAAGAAGGATGGCCAGCCTTGTTCGATGCCTTGTGACAAAGAGAAGACGGGCGGGAAATTGGTGCTGTGCTCAGCTCAGTCGAACCAATGTCATCCGTCCCGGAAACTTCAGGTCTCCATTCGCCTTACTACTAGGAACACGAAGCTACTAGGAACAAAGGGCATCGCTACTAGGAGCAAGGACGCTACTAGGGGCTCCTGGCATTACTACTAGGAACAAGAAGCTACTAGTATAAAACCAATTTCTTTAAGCCAATTGGCATCGCAAGACCGCTGTTAAAGGTCATGCAGCCCGATGCTCGACCCGACGACATGTTGCCTAAGCGTTGATGGTCTCGGCGTTGATCACAGTTGCAGCAGCAAAGCTTCATGCATATAGAATGCTTTTGGGAGGGCAGTGCATGCAGCAACATGGGCCAAGGTGTGTTTCTACCACACCATGCACCAGGAAGCACAGAAAGTGCGCATTTTGGCCGGACTGAACAAGTCGCCCTCAGGAGACCGTTCGTTCTGGGCCGTTTTCGGACCAAGGGAAGCTAAGCGAAGTCAAGGCTGGATAGGTTCAGTTGGAAAGAATAAAGGTCCCAACAGCAAGGTCCGAAAGATGTTATGAAAGAACAAGAATTACTTGTTACTAGCAGCTTCTAGCTTCTAGTAGCAATGTCCTTCTTACTAGTAGCGAAAGGTCCCAACAGCAAGGTCCCAAAATTTTTTTGTTCGAACAGACTAGTAGCAATGTCCTTCTTACTAGTAGCGAAAGGTCCCAACAGCAAGGTCCCAAAAGTTTTTTGTTCGAACAGACTAGTAGCAATGTCCTTCTTACTAGTAGCGAAAGGTACCAACAGCAAGGTCCCAAAAGTTTTTTGTTCGAACAGACTAGTAGCAATGTCCTTCTTACTAGTAGCGAAAGGTCCCAACAGCAAGGTCCCAAAAGTTTTTTGTTCGACCAGACTAGTAGCAATGTCCTTCTTACTAGTAGCGAAAGGTCCCAACAGCAAGGTCCCAAAAGTTTTTTGTTCGAACAGACTAGTAGCAATGTCCTTCTTACTAGTAGCGAAAGGTCCCAACAGCAAGGTCCCAAAAG